CAGAAAATTTTGGCACAAACTTCCGGTAGTACGAAGCCAAACCAAGAAAAGAACGCAGTTCGCGTACGTTCGCTGGTTGAGGCCAATTTCGTATGACCTCCACCTTGGTTGCCTTCGGCTCAAGGCCGTTTGCAGACAACCGATGTCCAAGATAGATGACGCAGTCCCTTCCGAACTCAGATTTCTCTTAAGTTGAGGTGCAGATGTGCCTCCTCGAGGACCTGCAAGACCTCCTCAAGGTGCTTGAGGTGCTCTTCCATGGACTTGCTGAAAATCAGAATATCATCAAGGTACACAACCACAAACCTGTTGAGCTGATGGCGGAGTACCTTGTCCATGAGGCTCTGAAACGTGGCTGGTGCATTCGTAAGACCGAAGGGCATAACGATGAATTCGTACAGCCCATCGCGTGTCTTGAATGCAGTTTTGTGCTGGTCACTCGGATCAACTTCAATTTGGTGGTAGCCAGATTTGAGGTTGATCTTGGAGAAGACCTTGCACCCACCTGCAACATCTAGCATATCATCTATACGAGGCAAGGGATACGCGTTCTTCCGGGTGATCCGGTTTAGGCCATGATAGTCAATGCACATCCGGAGTTTGCCTTCTTTCTTCGGCACAAACAGGACAGGTGCACCGAACTCAGACTCACTAGGTCTAATCCATCCACGATCGATCATCTCATCAATCTGCCTCCTCAACTCCTCCAACTCGCCTTGTCCCATACGGTAGACGCAACCCTTTGGAGGAACACTCCCTTCTATTATCTCGATCTTGTGTTTGACCGGACGCTCAGGAACTCCACGAGGTTCGGCTAAAACTTCAGGAAATCAATCTAATAACTGGCGAATGTTTGTTGGGACTTCCGGTGGAGGATCGTCCTCATCAGGAGAAAGAAAATAAGTTTGAGACTTTACAGCAATTACAACCGAATTTGAGGTACTTGGATCAGAAGTAGAGGGATTATTCACAGTAGAAGTAAATGAATTAGAAGTAGAGGTGGTAGAAGTAGAGTTACTTACCGAGGTAGAAAATGCAGCAAAAGTAGAAGGCACATGGAGAGGCTTTACAAAGGCTATATGTACATGCTCAACCTCCTTGCGCCGGCGCACTGATTTGCAGAATTTGTTTGCACTTAGAAGAGTCACAGGGGACTCGCGCGTCTCATCCAATAAGACGGTACGCTCGTTCCCCTTGGCATCACGCACCACGAACTGATTGTCCGCCCACGTGGTCAATGAGCCTTTAACCAGCCCAAGCCAATGACCGCGTCGAACGGACACTTGCCCATGACATAGAAGTTGAGCTCATGTGTGACAGTGCGGTCCTTGTCAAAGGTGACTCGCACACCTTTGGCAGCATGTGTAGAGGTGACAACCTCTTGGTTGCCCACGTGGGTCTGACAAGGGTTCTGCAGTTCCACTTGCTTCATTCCTAGGCCCGCCTTACGAATCCCGTTAGGAGAAAAGAAATTAGTGGTTGAACCACTATCAATCAGCACGCGGATGTATCGGCGGTTAATGAGCAGTTTAAAGAAGGTTAGCTCCACACTCCCTTGAACACGGCGTTGCTGCTTGAGCTGCAGCCAATGTTCCATGTGAGCGTGAAAGTCAACTTCCTTAGACTCCTCCCAAGGCTCAGTGTATAGCACATGAACTGCAGCAGCCTTGGAATCAGCGTCGTTCCGGGCTTCAAGAGTAGGCTGTTGATCAGATTCAGGCTCATTAGAGGGGCCTGCAACTGATGTTCCAGCTTTCCATGTTGTAGGGAGTGCTGATGACTCCTCTATGCCCTTTGCTTGTTTCCCTGAAGTCTATAACAGTCCTGCACAACATGCCCAGGCTCTTGACAATGCAAGCATATGCGCAATTTAGATCTTCTTTCCCATTCCTTTTGACTGATACGGAGGGCTTCCCAAGGCTTGGTAGATGCATCCTCCGGTTTCTCAGGGATCTTCGCATTCTTGCGGAGGTGGACAACAGTTCCCTTACCCGAACCACGGTTAGGCCCCTTGTTTGAAGCAGTCTTTCTAAAAGCATTAAGTTTTTCGTCTTCGTTTACGTCAGACGCAATGGCTGATGTGGAACAGCCCATATCGGAGTCCGGCTCTAGATCGTCATCTAGAGACAGATCATCCGCGTAGGACCGATCTTCAACCTCCCGATGTTCATGCAGTGCAAGCTGGTTGCTGCTTCCATACCGCTTGCGTTGTGGTTTTCCACCTGCAGTGGGCACCTTTTTACGCCTGGCGAGGTCCTTGGCCTCTAGGTTGACTAGATCCGTCATGAGCTCTCGCCAAGTAGTATGGTCTTTGAGTCCTAGCAGGGAGAGGTATTCTTTAGGGGCCACTCCCATGACTACATCCATCCAAGACACGTCAGTCATTCCCAGATCTGGAGTGGTGAACAGACCAGTCAAGTGCTGTTCCAAAGCTTGCATGGAGGACCTCCATGTTTGACCCTTGAGGGCCTCAAGCTTCAGCCTAGCCTTGAGCGCAGCATGCTTGTCTTGGTATCGTGTGATGAGAAGGTCCTAAAGGGAGCGTACAGGGGTTACCTTCAGCCACTCAGTCAGGTCAATTTTTTCATAACCTGCAGCAACAGCTTGGAGCTCAATGTGATTCCGTACGGCGGGCTCAGTATTAGTGCCCATGAACATGCTTCGGTCTTCTTGCGGTGTCCGCATGACCTCGAAGTATGACCGCATGGAACTAATCCAAGAGGTGATGTCCGCTTTCCCGTCGTACTTGGACGACAAGGTGGCCGCCCGCTTGTCCACTACGGGACCGCTGTACTGAACGCCAGCAAGGACTGTGGCGTTTTGGGCTGATGTCCCTTCATTTGGGACTATGACTAGTGCAAAACTGTCGGTGCTGCCGCTCGAGGAGCTGACATCGGTTCCTGCGCTCGTCACAGTTCCACTTGCTCTTGCCATGAGGACTGTGTTAGATTGAGAGATTGGGACTGCAGTAGATCGAGGGTTAGGAGGGCGAGGGGCAGACAGTTGGGACTGTTTGAGGCTGAGTATCTCAGCCTGCAACTCTTGATTTCGCTGCTCTAGTGCTATCACACGGGACTCTAGGTCCTCCAGAGTCCGCAATCGAACCAAGGCTCCTATGGCAGCAGCTAGTCCCTCCTGGAACCGGTCAGCATTGGCTTCCGGGATCCGAAGGAGGGCCACCTGATCAGCAATGTTGGCGGCTCTAGCTGCTGCCTCTGCCTCCCTTTCCCTCTGCACGACATCATCATAAAGCTTCTGGAAGAACGGTCTCTCGTTCTCATCTGCTGCATCCAGCATGGCCTGCCATTGGGCAGATGTGATGTTTGCCATGCCGGAGGAAGGGGTGTCAGTAGATCTCTCAAGAGGGGTCCGCTCTCTCCTTACGTTTGGACGAACACTCCTCTTGCCCCTCCTCACACTCTCAAACAAAACACCTTCTCTCTCCCTTCTCTCTCTCTCAGCTGTCTGCGCACGCGTCTCGATACCGGACATAGATAGTTCAAATGAAAGAAACAAGCAGAAAATCACACAGAGAAGAAGGTAGAACTCCTAGCCAGAGCGGCGATTCATTTGGACTTAGAGAATGGCACGCAGCGGAGTAAAATAATAAATAAATAATTAAAAAAAATAAAACGGAAGACATGACTGACTTATAGAACGGGCCCAATCAGATTAGCTGGAGATCCCCTCTTGTCTAACCTGACAAGGGACATGTATCACAATAAATCAGCTGAAGAAAACTAACTGCAGCAATGGAGATTTCGAGGGGTGCAGACGATCGCCGAGCCAGACGCGGGGCAGTATGTGATAACAGGCGGTAAGACCAGTCAAGATCCCCTTGAAAGGAATGCCCTTGCTAGGCGTATGTCCCCCCAGTTCAGCGCAGCAAGGAGATGCACATGCGGCAACAGATTTGGGCCCGAAAGGTCCTGTCCCGTTGGGCCTGGTCCCACTGGGTCCCGAGGGGTCCCAAGTAGGTCGTGGACCAGGACCAACGAGATAGGGGTACCAAGTCAGTCCCAAACTGCCTCTACCGTACTGAAAAGGAAAAGACAACTTTCAGCAAGAACTTACCCCTACAGCCGTTCAGAAATGAAAATTCAATGCACCATAGAAAAATATGTCATTTAGAGCAGATACATCATCCATCCATCCATCAGGTGAGAAAGCAATCCACATGCTCACACACACAACCAAGACCGCAGAGAAGAGGAAGAGAGCCCAGCACACCCCCAACAGGCCATGAAGTACCAAGCAACCTCCCACGGGCATAACCAGGTCACACGGCACTTACCTGTGAGGCTCGGCCTCCAAAGATGGATAATGAGTCACCCCCCTCTCTCATAAGTCCTCCTGACCCCTAGCTACCACTACACGAAGTGTCCTAGCATGACTAAGAGGGCCTTCCTACACCCCTGTTGCAAAGCCGGATCCCCCATCGATGTCTGAAGACCAAGTAGCAACTTGCAGCAATCCGATGCAGATATGGCAGCCTCCAATCAAGTCTCCCTCTTGAGGGGAAGCCCAAAAGTCACTTAATGTCTTCTTGAAGTGCAGATTCCAGGTGCGAGTACCTCTCACTCTCTACTCCCTCTCCCTTACTCCAATCAGCCTCCTTTGTGTCTCGCCACCCCATCCATTCACTCAGTCAACCTGGTCAGGTCAAATGTCGACCCTACATGACCTAACCAGGCGGGGGCAGTATCCACATACCTCACTGCCCCACTTAACCCTAACTTCCAACCCTAATCCGAGATTAGGTTAGCCCTGACCTAACTTGGCATTAGGTTTAGGGTGACTAACACCTCTCGCCAGCAAGTAAGTCCGCTCCGATACCAATTGTTACGATCCTGGTCATTTCCCAAGTGCAAATTCACAATGAAAGACAATGCCACCCAATTGCGAAAGAAATGAAAGCACTTGCAAAGAGA